TTTTTAGGGGTTAAAAACTTGAACCCAACGAAACATAATTTCACAAATGATGAATGAATTGTTATTAATTTCAATTATAAGTTAAGCATTTTACATCGTAAAATTTTTTTTTTGGCCTTAAAAAGATTCAAGACCTATTTAGCCAGACAATTGGTTGAATACGTAAAAACAATCTCCTAAACTCCTTTAAATTCATGACAATTTCCTAACCGTTCGTTCATTCGTTCATTCACTCAATTTCCTAACCTTCCCACTGAAAACACTATTGGGTGACTATACAAAAGGGATTAAACAGAAACACACGCTTCACGCTAAGGTGCCAGCCCTTCATAGCTACTTTTTTTAACACAAACAATACAGTCAGTGGTTAAAGGTAAATGACATAAAAGGAAAGACAATGGTAAATACAACTAACAATTTCGGATTCACACAACACTGAAAAAAGCAGTTTAGAGTTTCCGTTTGATACGTTTGAAAAATTCCCATAAAATCGATCTAATAGTTGAATTTCGACTACCTAAATAGAGAATAGAAGCAACGTTCTTCGGCAGTATGATTTTTTGTTAGGAGATGGCTTGAAATAAAAATTTTATGGCTTCTTGATTATACCGACATTGAAACATCCAGTGGTTAAGGTCTTCATAACTGCCATTATATTCACATATACCAGTTTCGGAAAGTTTTATATAGATAAGCGTTTACTGTAGCATGTCCAAAAAGGCATCTAACGTACATACATAGTATAAATATTCCGAGAGATCGAGTAGATGGAAGAGTTGGATATATACTGCAGTATGTATTTTTGCTACTGTTAGTAAAGGATTGCCACTAAATTTCCCAATTAAGTCTAACATGTTTCTTCCTAGCTGAAACTATATCCCTTTTGGGCAACTCGTTGTACTCTATACCCACTAAATTAGCGTCTTTAGCCAAATTGTGTACTTTTCCATTGCCTGAAATATTAGACTGACCTTTAACCTACACAAAGTTAACAATTCTTTTTAGAGCAGTTAAGATCCTTAACTTTTCAAGCGCATCTACAATTAGTATGCTGGTATATATGTGTTTAGAGAAATGTCTTAATGCGAGGAGGATGGGCTGTGAGTCAGATAAAATTATATATCGTTCGAAATATAATGTGCTATTAATTATCCAATCCAACGCCTTGACAATGGCTACCAAATTAGCTATGAATATTGAGCAATCTGATTTTAATTTGTACTGAAAATAATCTTAAATATTGTCTATGTAAATGGAACATCAAACACCAGCAGACGATATTAAACCATCGGTATAAATTTTACAAGAATGGTTAGAGTCTTCCAGCTTGTTCTGTACTACGAAATCTTCGTGAATAATTGAAATAGATGAAGGAATTACTACAGCAGGTTTATATTCATATAGTAAGTCATAATTGGAGCCAAAGAATGGAATACCTTCTCCATTGAATGAATATTGTGATAAATTGGGAAAAGCAACAGCTAGAGTTGGAGAGTTTTTATTTGCCCACCATTTGTTTGTTAGATTTTCAACAGAGAGACAAGATATTTTTTGCAATAAGCTGTTTTGATTATTAAACTGGCATTTAAGAATAAATTTTTCTACCAAAAATAGACGTCTTAAATGTAAAGGTGGCTATTTCTTCAAAATTTAAAAAACTCTTTGATAATGTATTCTGTAAAAATTGGTGAAAAAAACTTATTAACATGGTAATTAATTGATGTTTAAGTGTTGAAAAATAATTTTGTGGCTCTTTTTCAAACTAAAAGACCGGTCCTGCACAAAGGCTAGTATTATATTCTCGTCTAATGGGTGGGAAATTGGGAGAAGAATCACTAGTTTTTCATTTTTTTGGCAAGGGTTTAGGAGAAGATGGTTGATCATGTGTTGACCTAAAGTTTGATTTAGAAGAAGTATTACGGACAGGATGTTGTGCTGTAGAAGTTTTTAAAGCAGGACATTCTATATCTGAATCAATTAATGAAGCAAATTTATTTTTTGTATGAGCCTAGAATAGGCCGGATTATTAATAATTTTTTCAGCTTCTTTGAATGATATATTCTTCTTTGATTTCAGTTTGCTTTTTAAATTCTGGACATTCCTTATAAGTAAAATTGTGACTATTATTTTTGGAATAAACACAAAAAATATTGCATGCTTCGCACACAGATTCATTTTCTACACCTTTTCTTTCCCCTACACAGTGAGCCGGAATGGTCATATCGAAGACAACGAAAACATTGCATAACTGGATTAATATAAGTTTCTACATTGTTTATACATGAACTCATATTAAAATCTTCATGTACAATGATATATTCAACAAGAACATTGACTCGATTATCTTTATTAAAATTAGTAGTAGTTTTCCTTTAAACGCAAACTTAATATAGACTTATAACTAATAATGAGAACCAAATAACCTACAAACACCGATGTCACTTCGTATAGCGTATGATAGCACCTCTTTACTAGTCAACGGTTGGAGTAGGTACGAATGATCGTAAAAAATGATGTTTTAATGTTACTTACGTCATAAGCATTGGTTCCTAAGATTGAAAATTTATACTAAAGTACAAATTATCATTAAATCGTTTATTTTACTTAATTCGGTCAGATTTTAATGCATAAAACGCTTAGACGCAGGTTTTCTATTTTTTCCACTTAGGGGTAGTTTTAACCCATTAAAAACAAAAAGCACATTTTGTCCATATATGTCTTTTGCAAAGGAGGGTAAGACAAGCTAAAATTCAAATTTTTAGCTAAATCCATGTAGTCCGATAAAATTGATAGGAAAGGTCCTATTTTCTGCCCGAGTTAATGGACTAATAGAATTTGGCTGTAGTCCTTTTGGTTTTAGATTTAATGAATACCTTCTATAAGGACAAAGTTAATAATAAACCGGACAAAACCGTATTAAAAAGGATAAAGATGAAATAAGAGTCATCGAAAAAAGAAATACAAAATACAAACATATACAAAGTTTACAAGAACGCCAAGTGTGTATTTAAATAATAAAAGCATACATTATTAAGCTTCTGCTTATAAACAAACTTATTGTTGGTTCCTAAAAAAACTGATACGACTCTTAGTAAGATTTGATCATTTTAAGCAGTGTATTTTGATTGGTCTGCCACCATATTATATTTATTATGACAGACAAATAATATCATAAACAAACAAACAACAAACAATTGATTACGTATGTTAATTAACAAATTGTAATAATTATTAAGGTCTAAATTTTGATATTATTTTAATTTCTGCGTTTTATAAATAGTATATAAATGATAGTTTTTACATAAAATAGAGTTGTTGTTATTATTTTTATTATTATTAAGGAATAAAGCAAACGACTTTTAACGATTTTAAAGTAAGAATTGTAACCAAACTAAAAGATAAATATGCACTATCAGGGGCAGCAAAACATTTTAACATAAGCAGAACAGCAGTTTTTCTATTAATACAAAATGGAGGAACAACAAACTCTCGAAAGCAACAGCAAAACAGTTCAACATAAGCAGAACAACAGTTTTTCTATTAATAAAAAATGGAGGAACAACAAACTCTCGAAAGAAAGCGAGGGTCCGGTAGACCAAAACTATACTAAATTTAGGTATGTAAAAATAAAATGAATATTGTGTAATATCTCCATCAGCATTGATGTAGCTTGTACTCTTCGCTCCATCTGCGCAGAAGGAACTATGAAATTGTCTTCTTCAAAGAGCTCTTTCCTAACCTGTTGTATACAGTGCCACAGTTTTTCAGCATTTTTTTTCAGCAACCGTTTTATAATAACCCCCGACACATTCTTGATTAGGTTAAAATCTGTACTGTAGCTGAGCCATGGTAAGGTTTCGATGTTGATATTCTGGAGCCACTGGTTTATTATATTTGCAGTGTAAACAGGACAATTATCTTGTTGGAGGATAAAATTATTTTCTGAATACAACTGTTTTACACTGGGAAACATGATGTTTTCTAGAATATTCAGATAAGTCCGTCCAACAAGCCTGCCATCAATACGCCATACATATAAAAGATTAAATCTAATATTTTCTTGTCTATACATCCCAATTTTGCCCTTTTTAGAAACTTGAAAAATTTTCTCATCTGTAAATATTACTCTGTCCTAAAAATTTTGATTTTGTAGCTGATAGTTTAAAGAAAAAGTCTTGATTGCTTCTGCTGTGGTGTAAGAGCTTGTTTTTGCTGTAGTTCGGTACCTAAGACGCGATGCGTAAATTTTGCGTCAAATTGTTGTCGTTATTCCCGAAAACTGTGACATAATTCTTGCAGTTTCCGCATCTTCAAAAGGATTCTCTCCTAATCTTCCCAAAAGCGTACGATCTTCATGAGCGGTAGATATTTTTGTCTTTCAGAACCTTGCTTTCTTTCGAGAGTTTCTTGTTCGCTCCATATTTTATTAATATTAAAACTGTTGTTCTGATTACGTTAAAATGGTTCGCTACAGCAGATAGTGGCCAACCATCTTCTGATTTCGTTACAATTCTTGCTTTTAATTCTTTGATAGTATGTGAAGCCATTTTTTGAGGTTGATCAGAATAAGTGTTCTGACAAGTTTAAAGATTTGGCAGTGACAGTGACAGTATGTAAATAATAAGTATTTATCCTTCAAAACACACTGCTCAATTTTCTACAAAATACGCTTTAAGAGTCGTATCAGTTTTTTAGGGATCAGCTATACATTATATTATTAGATTTTAATTGTACGTGTGAATCGTCACAATGTGTCCATCTAAAGGGAACGTATTATTCTTAAAGGGAAAATGGCAATATTTGACAATATGGTTAACAAGTTTGCGTTTGCCTCGTTGGAGGACGCTGTGGCCGAAAGAGTTAATATTTAAACATTTAAAAATTTAAACGCATAACGTTGAAATCTTAATTTGATCTACTTAAAAATTGATTGATTATATATAGTAATTCATCAATTTTCTTTAGTAAAAATAAGGGCATTTTAAAATTATTCTACTCACTCGATAACGATGACAATTATAAGTATGTAAATCGTCATAATTTACTTCATTGGACACTGAACCTGGTAGATATCGAAATGTTTTTACTGGTATAAATACTTTTTTCTTCTTACGATTACAACATTTTTTCTTTGGCATGTTTAAAAAAATATTCTTTTCGTTTACTGCTAAAAAAATTTGACAAATAGTGACAACATCCCTAAATTATGTTTTTGTATTGTTTCCTATTATTTGTTTTTTATTTTATAATTACTTGTTTCTCTTTGCTATGGAAAAGTATTCTTCTTCTATTTAGTCCCGTCGTGTTAAATGAAAAAAGGCCTAACCTTGCCTGGCGAGCTGCCAAAAATTTTATTATTCTAACTTTTAGGGAGGGTAACTATGAAGTGTAAAATTAAAATCGCGATTGAATCCAACAGTTGCATTAGCCGACATCTTGAATTTGAAAATAAAAAAAGAGAGATCCATTATGGCTCAAATAAAAAATTATGGTAAGGACTGAAATTGTTCGTCTCATGGCGCCGTCTCCTTTCGAAGGTTGGCGATCCAAATGGCAATTGTGATTGTGGAAACTGCTGAAATTGTTATAAATGCAATTTTCCATACTTTATTTTTTACAATTTTTTTCGTGCGGTCGGGTCGATATTTTCCAAGTTACGTAGAAAATAGTGGATTTCGGAGAAGGAAGCATAATTATCGAATTATCTCGTTTATTATTAACTTTGAATGTACGTAAACAAAAATGGAGAATAAGAATGATTATATTTATACAATTTTGGTCATTTTTATTTTTTTGCTAAAATTAATATTTGAGGTCGTCCGTATAAGTACAATAAAACCGCGAGCGTAAGACCTTACGTAAATTGGTGACATAGGACTTTTCTTCTTCTTTTAGTACCCTGTTCGATTATCGAAAGTTGGCGATCATATTGGCATTAATAACTTTATTTACGGCGGCTGTAAATATATAAGCGGTTGTTTCTTGATACCATTCTCAGAGATTTCGGTGCCAGGATGTTCTTCGTCGGCCTTCTTTCTAACTCTATTCCATACGCTCTGATATTCGCAGAAGAAAAACTCCGTTTCGCTGATAACCATAAATTTTGTCTTAGAAGTATTAAGTTTTAGCCCATATTCATCACACGCTTCGGTTACCCTATTTATAAGTCGTTGCAAGTCGTCTTCGTTGGAGTCAATAAGTACCATTTCGTCTGCATATCTGAGATTGTTGACATTAATTCCGGTGATTTTATTGCCTGTATCTTCAACTAAGGCTTCTTTGAAAATAAATTCGGAGTAGATATTAAGATATTAAAAAGTAGAGGCGACGGAATACATCCTTGCCTTACTCCACGTCGTATTTTCACTACTTCCGTCGTGTTGTGTCTAGCCCGTATGTTTGCACATCGATGCCAATACAAATTTTTGATAATACCATTGATTATAAACCACTACCTAGATAGCTCACCTCGTGGTAACCGAAAGACGTATCAAAAACTAGATGGCGTTACTCGAAAACCGTATCGAGATTCTCATTCTCTCTCTGACTTGCGAAGAGATAGGAGTGGTGTCAGGGCCGAACTTACCCTATAAGTGTATTATCTGTGTCTAGGGTTGTGACAAGTTATAGCGAAATTTTATAAAAAAAAGGACTCACATTTTAGATAAAATGGCCTGTGTAACGCATAAATGTGTTTACGCAGGATGTTTTGAAAGAAACGATGGAACAAATAATAATATATCTTTCTTTAAATTTCCCCTAAAAGACGTAGAGCGCACAAAAATTTGGCAAAAAAACTGCGGGAATATTGATATTATATTGATGGATATCAGTGACCTAAAACAGAGGGTAATTTGTCAGCATCATTTTGCAGTGGAACATATTTACCAAAGTGGCCAAAGAAAGTTATTAAGGAAAAATGCTCTTCCTCTAAAATTTACACAGTTAGCAACTGATTTAGGTGAGTATTCAACTTTAGAAATATTTTTATATTTGCGTAATGCAAATGGTCAATGAGAATAAAACTATTAAAATATATGTTATATAAAATCATTTGATATTGAGTGATTTACATATATATATATATATATATATATATATATATATATATATATATATATATTATATATAATATACCATTTTTCAAAGTAAAACACTTGCATATTCCGATTTATACAAAGTGACGTCACTTGTATTTAAAATTTCCAGAACATCAATCTTGTTCAAATTTTCCTACCACAATGTTTTGATTTCTTACACAATTTGATCATAATATAATATATATTAATAAATTGTATTTATAAATACATATGAAATATAGATTAATAGCTTTAAAAACTAACTATTGTTGTGTAGTGTGATTGTGATATGCCCATCGAGCAAAAAGACAAAAGAGGGAATCTAATCGTTATAAAAAGGAGACCAAAAAAGTGGCCTCTGATGGCGGACATATCCGGAAATGCGAATGCGCCAAATTTAAATTTTTCGACACTTTTTAACATTAGCTATAAAATAGTTTTCAGAATGTGTCTTAGACGAGAAGCTTTAAATAAATATTAACGATAACAGTCTAAAATGTGACACAATTGTTAAAAAACTTCAATATAAATAAAATTTCATGTGACAGTTGGGACAAACAATAACATAACCCAACTAAATTTGATTTCATAAACAAGGAAAGACTCTTTTTCCTTGTTTAATGTGGCCTCTCAAAATGGCACTTATTATGGTTAGGTCAACTCCATCGCTGAAGAGATCAAGTAGTAGTCTTAGTGATATATCCAGTTTTGAAATTAATTTGCCCACAAAACTTGAAACTGAATTGACGGAGAAGGTAAAAAAATTGGAGTATCAAGTAAATGCTTTAAAGAAGAAGTGCCGTCAAAAGAACAATCAGCGTTGTAGAAGAACAGCAAAAAACAGAAAATCTGCAACCAAATTGATGTTACAGGTACTGTTAGAAAATAAAAGTAAATACGTGCACAGTTTTGTTAATATGCAGTTTTTACACAAAACTCGTTCACAATGGAGTCACAATGAAAAGGATTTAGCTCTGGTCATTTATTATAAGTCTCCTAGTTGTTACAAATTTTTAATTAGATCTTTTAACTTTATATTACATTCAGTAAAAACAATTCAAACTTGGTTGCGCGTCATAAAATTAAGAACTGGTTTAAACACTTCCTTAATTGACAAGTTGAAGAAAAAAGCAGAGACAATGGATGAGTGGGAAAAAATGTGTGTGTTAATGTTTGATGAAATTTCTTTAAAAAAACAATTGGAGTACAATAAATTAGATGACATTATAGAAGGGTTTCAAGATTTAGGTGCTTTAGGAAGAACAAACAAACTTGCCAACACAGGTCTGGTTTTCATGATGCGCGGCTTGCTACATAACTGGAAAATTCCGATTTGTTATTTTGTTACAGATGGTCCAATACATAGCGACAACTTAAAAAACATTGTAGTTGAAGTTGTTTCAAAATTACAAAATATTGGGTATATACCAAAAGTGTTAGTGTGTGATCAAGCATCTAATACTAGAGCTTTATTTAAACTGTTAGGCGCATGTAAGGATCAGCCTGCAATAGAAATAGGAAATCAGAGGATTTTCACTGTATTTGATACACCCCACTTATTAAAAAGTCTAAGAAATAATTTTCTTAACAAAAAGTTGACGCTTTTTGCCGATTCTAAACAAATATCGTGGCAAGATATTGAAAACACATACAACATCGATAGAATCAATGTTAGAGCACGATGCATGGTGAAAATAACAGACGTTTATATAAACCCTAATAATTTTCAAAAAATGCGTGTAAACTTAGCAGCCCAAATTTTTTCCAACTCAGTTGCCTCAGCAATATCAACAGCAATAGCTGTAGGGCAGTTACACACTAAAACGGCTCCTCATACTGCCGATTTTTTGAAAATTATAAATAATATTTTTGATGGTCTTAACAGCAAATATTGTAGTGATAGTAATTCAAACAGAAAGCCAATGTCAACTTTAAGCAAGTCAACTGAAAACTTAAAAGCAGGTTTAGAATATTTTAAAAAAATTAAAGTTTTTGAAAATCAGCAAGAAAGAAATAATGTTCACTGTCTACACGGCTTTCAGTGGACAATTTTGTCAGTTTTATGTTTGTGGGAGGAACTTCAAAATATAATGTATCATATCTTTTAACATCTTTTCTGAACCAAGATCCTCTAGAAAATTTTTTCTCTATTGTGCGCAATAGGGGTGGTTACAATGCAACACCTAGTGTTAGTCACTTAAGAATTGCCATTAACCATAACACAAATATTAAACTAGAAATTGCTTTGGACAATGGAAATTGTGAAATAGCACAAACTGATAATTTAGATTTAACCCACGAAGTAACTAGCGTCGAAATATCTGACGAGTCTATTGAAACCCAGTTTCAGTCAGTTCAATGTAGAAAAATGTTTAGACAAGCAAAAGGAAAATATTGACAACAAAATTTTAAGCGCGGCAAATTCCAGCAAATCTAGCATAAATTTAGAAACTTGTGCTGTTACATATGTCGCTGGATATATTTACTATAAGATTATAAAGAATTTGAATTGTATTAAATGCCAGGAAGATTTGCTAAAAGACAATAAAATTCTATTAGAGAAACACGAATTAATGTTACTTTTCAGATATTATGCCGCAAAAGAAGAAATAAAGTTTCTTCAGAGACCATCAGATTTGTTACTATTACTACAATATTGTTAGAAAAGTTTCACAAGGCGTTTAATTTATTTAAAGTAGATAATGCAGTTTTTAATAAAATTGAAACCTATGTGACTAAGCATATTTTATTAACTACTTGACTTGGCTTGAAAGCTGTGACGACCATAAAAGAAAAATTATAAAATTCTTGGTAAAAATCAAACTTTTAAAAACGTGTCAGTGGTATAACGTTAATGAAAGCAAACAAAAAACTAAAAGGGAAAAGATTCACAGAAAATTACTTATTTTCGATAAAAGTAAAGGTAAATAGACTTCAAAATGCAAAAATTCGACAAATAACAGCAAAAAATAATTCAACAGACTGACAGCCACAACAGTAAACAAACCAGAAACGTCACAAATTGTACTTAAAATAAATATGAAAACCTTTTTTTTCTACCTATATCTTTTGTTTGTTAAAAAATATTAATTCTTCTCAAGAACCTTCATTTTTATAGCACTTTGATATAAATATG